ACAATGAAGTTGGTCTGTCAACTGAGGACATTGCGATAGGGAGTACCTTTCGATCGAAAGAAGAATTACAGTTCAAACTATCTGTGTCTGCGATGAGATTGAATTTTGAATATCGCGTGAAAAAATCTAATAAGAGCTTGTATACTGTTGGATGCTCGGAGGATGGATGCAAATGGAACCTGCGTGCAAGGAAGATTAAAGGTTCGGATACTTTCCTTATCTCTACGTTTCATGAGTTGCATAGTTGCATACGTGAGGTAATGAAACATGACCACCGACAAGCTCGAAGTCATGTCGTGGGTCAGCTCATAAAATCCAACCTGGAGGATGTAAGTCGTCGTTATCGTCCAAAGGATATTGTTAATGACATATAGAAAAATTATGGCGTAAACATCTAATATGAAAAGGCTTAGCGTGCGAGAGAAAGAGCGTTGGATATACTAATGGGATCGCCTAAGAAGTCCTATACGCTCCTACGTAAATATGGCGAGGCATTGAAATCAGTGAACCCGGGCACGATTTTTTCCCTGAAGCTAGAAGATGATAAATACTTTCAGTGTGCATTCATGGCTCTAGGCTGCTCAATAAGAGGCTTTAGAAGTTGCATTCGATCTGTGCTTGTCATTGACGGTGCACATCTGAAGGGAAAGTATAAAGGTGTGATACTTATAGCCTCCTCTGTCGATGTGAATAATCAGATATATCCACTAGCATTTGGAATTGTGGACAAGGAAATAGACAGCTCATGGACTTGGTTTTTGGAGCATGTGAAGATTTGTATTGGAGACATTAGTGGATTGGTTTTCGTGTCCGACCGGCACCAAACCATTAATCATTCTGTATATGCTGTCTTCCTCGACGCGAAACACGTTACATGCATGCATCATGTAAAGATGAACTTGAACGATAAGTTCAAGTGTAGGACCGAGGATATGGAGAGGCTGTACATTCAAGTAGCTAAGGCATTCAAGAAGTCTACGTTCAAGTATTACTGGAACCAACTTGCAGGATTCCAAAAGTGCAGAAGTATCTAGAGGACATCGGGTTCGACAAATGGGTACGTGCATATCAACCTAGACTGAGGTACAACCAAATGACGACTAACATTGCGGAGTCCATGAATGCCGTACTTGTGGAGTCCGTGCATATCTAGAGGCTTTCTAATTGCTTTCAAATCAGCCTCTATGCCACCCATACGCTCATCCATATGATGATTCATCGTCCTCAAGTGCTTCTCAACCTTCTTCAAGCGCACACTAGTGCTGCGAACTTTTTTCTTACCCTTGGACTCCTCATTGTCCAAATCAGGGTCTTTCCCAACCATCTCAACGTCCACACCATCCAATTGTCCCTCACATACAGCCGATGGTCCAGCATCATCACCTCGGCCCACATCCGGACCTTGTGCGCCCTCTGGTACAGCCGATGGGCCAGCATCAACATCCATGACGTCATCATCTTATGGTTCAGGTGGTTCGAAGGTTCGCCTCATTGAAGTTCGTCTCTGCATCAGTTGCCTCTAATCTTCGCGTTCTTTCCTGAGTCAATAGTAAGGTAGAGTCGGGATAAATATGAGAAATAAAAATGTGACACGACAAACATTCAAATCAAACTTACAGTTGTAGATCGAAATATCTCCCGGTCGAGAACATGTCATGCAGTTGAATGGCCGCACCTTCACCGAATAATACATGGCACTGCATCCTCGAGAACTTTATTTGCAACCCGACCGATAGGGAAGATATCACTTCGTACGCCCACACCTGTACGAATAAGCAATTCGCATTAGAAACCATAATTGATAACAACGGCCCAGAATATAAAAAAAATATATTTATGTCCATGCCTGGAACACCTATGGAAAACCGTACAAGTTATATGATTTCCCCAACCCTCCGTCTTTTGCCATCTTGGTCGGGCCATGATGAAGACTACTTATCGTCTTCTCGAACGACAGAGATGCCCAGTCATGGCTGCAACAAGCCTCTCAATCATCCACACTCCTAACAGTGTTTGATCAAACTTCACCGTTCTCTCTTTCCCCAGCAATACCAGTTTTACCAGGTAAACAATCGATACCTTGACCGCATCGAAGTCATCCTCAAATTGGGTGGCTATGTACAGTTTTTCTAACTCACTCAAGACAATGTTCGTCCTATTGTTAAAGTACAAGGCCCTAAGTCTATGAGGATGTGTAACTTTCCTAACTGGGTTCCTGTCATAGTGTAGGCCACTAATAAGGTCAAACTCCCTCCGTCCAAACGACACCTTCCTCCCAAAAAGGTTGAAACTAATCGTGTTCGGTGTACTATCCTCAACCTCCCTAAGTAAGATATTGCGTATCAACGGTCCGTTAAAAACGAGGTCCACATCCAGCAGATGACCGAAAATAGTTTTCCTAAACATGGCTAGTTGTCTAGGGGTGAGTTTTTCCTTAATATCAGTGCTTGTCTTCGCTAGGTGCGATAGACAGGTCACGTTTGCAGAGGCAAAGATTGCAGGGTCAATTTTCGGTCTCATTTCCATACTTCCAACCTGAATACGAGTAAAAACATAATTGAATACGATAGCCATACAACCATAAGCAAGAAATAAAAAACAAAAAGAAGCCAGTGGTCAAGCAATGTTCTGTCTTAATTCTCGGGGGCAATCTCGCTCGACATCGGGTTAACTACAATTTCTCGTGTCGAAAAAAAATCAATACATGAATATTCAATTTCTCGTGCCAATCCAGGGCGAGATACCCCCGAGAAATAACATATAAAACTTAGCGCGCGAGATAAAACGAGAAAGCATGCGATAGAAATATTGCTTCTGGTAAATTTCTCGGGTTACCTTTGCCTGAGAATACCCTGAGAAATTTACCAGAAACAGTACACCACATTTGAATTTCCCGGGGTACCTCGAACGAGATGCTTCGATGTAGTTAAATCACGCCCGAGGTACCCCGAGAAATCTCCACGAGAACTAAAACCCAGAAACCCGAATTAGCCCGTAAACTTGTCAAAACCAAATCAATTCGCCCTAAATAATTTCAAAAACCTAATCAATCCGCCATAAATCGCCTGAAACCCACATAAATGTTCAAACTTAAACCCTAAACCCACAACGTCAAACAAGAACCCCACAACGAAATTAAACAAGAACACCGCAGTGATTAAGTGTAAGTTTAGTGAAATGGCTAGGCCATATTTACCGAGTAGAATGAATGTATGTGGATTGGACGGCCCAATAATATGGCTCGGTAACATATCGCTTCTTCCGCTATGAGATATTCCCAGTGCAAAAGCATATGAATGCAGAAGACTCTTTTACTTCCTAACCTTGATTTCGCGGGTGAGGCGCAGACGAAGGAGTTAAACAATCCGCGAAGAAGGCGTTCAATAGCACGCACAATAAAAGAAAAAGGGGGAAACGAAGAGGAAGAAGCGCACGAACGTAAGCTTCAAGCGGCACAGACGAGAAAGATGAAGAGAGGAAGAAGGGGAAGAAGTTGAAACGCACGAGAAAGACGAAGAGAGGGAAACGAAAAAGCACAACCATTGTTTTTTAATTGAGGGCATAAATGTAATTTCATAATTTTTAAATTCATTTAAATAATATGATGGTCCATTCAAAACAATTTTTTAGGGAGGGGTTATACGAGCAAAAAGTTTATTTAGGAGGGTCATTCATGTCATTTACCCTATCTAAATGATGATTTGAATGAAGATGAAGAAGAACATAAGCCCAAACGCCTTGCTCTCCCCTCTTCGCCTTGGAACAATATTTCACCTCCTATCTTCAATTTGTTTCTTCTTCTTCCATCGCCATCACTATCCACGCAAAGTCGGGCTCCAAAACCACAGATCTTTCTCTCTTGTTGCCTTTGATTTATGAACTTGCCCACTAACTGTTTGATAAAATGTCTGAATGTATCTATGTCTTAAATGTGTATGTTTTCTTGGAATCGGATCTCGGGTCTGTACGGGTGAAATCAACGAGAGCTAAGAAGTTCTTGGAAAAAACTGGATTAGAGAAAGATGATCATTACTTCTAGAATCAAGTTGCCTACGCTCTACAGTATACGTATGCCCTAATTGGTTAAATCAAAACTACTTTGAGGTATAGGGTTATTATCGTGGTATTACATTTCATTTAAGCAATTACCTTGATAGATTATGAAATTGTTGGAATTAAATTATATCCTTATAACTATGCTAATGGTGGGTATCCATAAGGTTTAATCATAAAATTGTTGACCGTTCAAAGTGGTTTTTATTAACTAAGTTACAATGAATTGTTGTGAATTCATTAGTTAATTTAGACTACCTGCAATTAGAGTAACTCATTAAGGTAATTGGTTAAATGAAATTTGATTTTTGTGATATATGATGAACCAGGTTGTTCGGGGATACAATATCCAATTGCCACGTAGAGGACGGAGATTGGCAGTCATAAGAGATTGTTTAGGAGAGTTGTTTTGCAAAGCTCCTTCGCGGAACCTTTCGAGGAGGGAAGTTCATTATTCATTGTATTACAACCTCGAAAGTATCCAAGTTCGATCTACTCGAACCCGACACATCCGACCTCAAAACCGACCAAGGTAACTGCTTGTCGTGACCCATATCGGGATCTATACCTATAAATAGAGGGCCTCATTTCACCATCAGGTATCGATTTTCTCCTCGAACTTAATATTGAGTCCGAGCTACTTACTGACTTGAGCGTCGGAGATTTTGCCCTTTTGTGCAGGTCTCCCCAGTCTTTTAGGTAGGAGCTAGGATCGGGTTCGAGGCAAAGAACCGTTGTGCAAATTCTTGCATAAACACAGGTGATGAAGAAGCAACGGAGAAGTTCATTGTAAAGGGAGAATGATTGGAACAACTATAGGTCCAATGAGGATGCCTGATTTAGATAAGGATTCAGATCATTATCAGAAAGAATCACAAAAAAAGAAGCTGGAGCTAGAGGTCTAGAAGCTGTGGTTGAGGAATGAGGTCATTTCGAAGCTTAAGGAGAAGGACTACGATGTTGAGTGAGGTAATTCTTGGATAGAAACATGGAAATTATGATTGTCTAATTTGTGCATGTGTTCTTGTTGTTGTGAAAGTTTTGAAAGAGCCATTTGCTTCTACCATTCATGTTTCCGTGTTTGTAGTCCTCTTGTTAATATACGACTTTCTCAATCACAACAATTGCTCCACTTTGTCGAATGACATATTTACACTCTAGGTGATATGTGGTATCTTCTGTAGCTCATCTTGTATTGAATTGAACTCACACATCATGTCTCCTGCCACTAAATTAGCTTCGACCATATCACTCTTTGTCCATGTTTTGTTGACATGCGTTATTGCTTATTTAGCTGGTAGTGTACTTATTTGCCAACAACATCTAATTGTTAATATTTTGTTTATGATATATGACTTGTCTAGGTATGTTGCACAGAATAAGTTGTTTAGAAGCCAGCTTCATATTTACAAATGAGGAGGTAAGATCTCTTTGAAATATATTACAATCTATTTGTTCCCGGGCTCAAATAATGAGTCTGCTCAAATGAAAAATCTCGTACTTAATTTTAGATCATCCATATTATAAGCATTTTGAGTTCTGCTTTGATAAATTTTTAGTTGAAACCTGGAGTTCAAAATACATAAATTGTGATTGTTTTAATTGGATATATACTTGATGGTTCTTTTAAACATTTTGCTTTGCTTTCTTGACAGATTGAAAAATGAAGTTCTAGTTTGATACATTTTGTTTTAACTATAAATACAGAAATCTTCCTTTGCCTTTTATTAGCTATGTTTGTTGGTAATATTAAATATGGATGGGAGAGTAGGTGGATTAAATCTGACAGGAAGAAAGATAGGACTTAGAAAGGAAAGTCCTCTTATGTAGAAGTGGAACTATAGATTTTCGTATGGAGGGAAAAAATTTTACATTCAATCCTTTTCAATTCCCAAACTTTACGGACAAGTTATTTAGAAACCTGCAGATTTATATATATTGTTTTACTTTTTCTTAATCTTAGGATTTAAAAAGTAAAAGTAGGGGTAATTGCCCCTATTCTTCCTTTTTCTCTCTGTCCCTACTTTAACGTTTAGGTTAACCGTTTAGGTTAACCATTTGTTATAAGTTGTGATCCAAAAGGTTGTCGCAAAGAAGTAATTTAGAGTTATATCATATGTTGTCCTAAACACTACCCCAAAAACAAAATGTCTTCCGTCTATTATATTCGTATAGGAATGGAGAAAGAATGTTAAGGACACTTTTGACATACCGTAGACGGATATGCTTTATAAGTGATACTCCATAGAATGATAATATGTTAGCGACATACTATACTCTGTCACAAATTACTATAATATGGATAAATGTTTCTGATTTGTTTCATTGTTTAGGTATTGCAAGATGCCCCATGGTAAACCGTCATTTGAATGTTGTGATTGTGGTCATTCTTTGGTGGGATTAGTATGCATTAGATTATTGATGTACAGTTGAATAGTTTGTTTAAATAGTGTACTAATACTTCGAACTTTCAATATATTATCTTACTGCATATGAATACTTTATTTATATACTTGGTTCATCTACATTTGAATATAGTTTAATAATGCATGAAGTTGATGTAAGACTATATAAGATAATGTATGTGAAATATATCACAATAGGCAGGTACTAGCTATAGTTGTGGAAAATAACTTTAAAAAACGTGTCATTATTTAGTTATATGAAAATTGTCATCAATTTCATAGTTATGACAGTTTAGTGCAATAACTGTCAACAAAAAAAAAATTTAATTTGTCATAGTTAAACTTCTTTTGACAATGTCCAAAATTAACTATTGTCGTGATTAAAGATTTTATGACAGTTGTAAAGGTCAACAAAAAAGATTTAAATTGTCACAAAATAATTTTGCGTGATTCTTAAAACATGTCGTTATTACATATACTATGACAGTTGTTAATTGTCATTATACAAATTTTCATGACAATGAATAGAATATCATTATTAAATATTCCATGACATTTGATAAATTGTCATTATACAATTTGTCATGACATTTAAAAAATGTCGTTAAAAGGGTTTTCTTCACAATTAAAAACCACCGTGAATTTCACGTCTTATTAGACTGACCATTTTTCTAGCAATGTAAACTCAAGCACTCCCTCTCCCTACCTCTCAACCACATATTCCCTCCCACCAGCAGCCTCCTCTGGCTAGCAAATTCTCCTCTTCCCTTCATCCTCTATTTGCCAAACGACGTGGTTTCCTTCACCGTTGTCAAGACCGACTCCGACTTCCACCATGTTTTTGGCAACCATCCACGTCAGATCGAAGACTCTCACCCCTTCATACCCATGATCCAACCATCTAATTCTTGTGCCGCCGTTCCATCAATGGCCGTATAGGTTACTTATTTTCCAAATCATGGGTTTCGAATGCCTTTCTTCCCACCATTTACTTTTAGATGAAAAAAGTTTCAGCTTTATTTAAAAATTCTAGGCTCACATCAACAACTGCCAATTAGAATTATTGTCTCCTTATTATTGTAGTTTGTCATCTGAGTTCACCCATCATTTTAAAGGCCTACTAACGTCCACATTCTCACAAGTACTCCTTACGTCTCCATCCATCTGGATTCTAGGCACATTTGAGTTAACCCCCACACACATACAAAAGCTGAAGAAAGGGCCGGGTATTGGAGTAAATAGAGAAGACTTCACCATTATCACTAGAACAAGAAGAAGAACTGCATTTATCAACATTTGTGGTGGCATATATTGTTGGGAAAAGAAATATAGATAAATTGATCCTCCTATAAGTTTTTCACACAGGAACTATTTGATTTTCTCCTTCCACAGGCTAAAAGCAGATAAGTAAGTAACAATCACAAAGGAAATAAGGGATATGGATAGAAAAACTTAACACCAGTGATTATACTAGTTCACCCCTATCTTGGGACTACGTTTAGTCTTCTGCGAAAAAGCAGGTTCAACTATAGTTAGGAATATTATAATGGAGATCTCACTCAAGATATTACTATCTTGCTTCTAATCATCCTTACAATGGGTACCTAGGATTACACAATTGGAAATACCCTCACTAAACTCATGAGATACAAACTACTTTTTCACACACTGCCCACAACCACTCAAGTCTCTCTTATTTGGATTCTGTACAAATGAAACCTTAACAAAAGGGTTCTATTTATAAGAGCTCTCAAATATCTCAATCCTTGGAAAACAATATTGTAAGACAATAATATCCTACTCCTTATCAGAATTGGTAGTAGTGTTGAAAATTCTTTCTTTCGTAGGATACGAGTCATCTATTTTGGCTCCATTATCTCAACAATATGCGTATGTATTGATATGTTTAATCAAAACAAAACAAGGGGAGTGTAAATTACTTGTGCACTTATCATTGGCTGTAGATGCTCGTGGGTTGTTGAACCCTCAATTTCAAGCAATTATTTTGGTTATCCAAACAGATAAACGAAATAAATAAACAATCGAAGATTCCATATATGAGCGGTAAAGGACACCGAATTAAGCAAATATGCAAAAATTTGGAGCTAAATTGTGACAGATTAATAAGAATAATGGATTTTCCAATTCAGTAGCGTATGTGAAGAGGAAAAAGAAGGAAACAAGGAGAAATAAAAGAATAAAGTAATGGATGAACGAATCAAGGAATGGAAGTCATACTAGGACAAGGCAGAGAACAAGAGCCGAGCGGACCAAATATGTCGGGCGATTAGGATTGGGAGTAACAGAGGAGTCACAGGACTGACCAAATATGTTTGCCTCCCTAGAAGAGAAAAACAAAAGAAAAAATTCTCAAATTCTTCTTCTCTCCTATTCCTCTTCCTTTGAAAACCTACCTATCCAAACATAAATCTAAAAAAATAAAAAATAAAAAATAAACATGCAGAACCCAAATCCTTCTTCTCTCATCTTCCTTTTCCTTCTAAAATATACTACTGATCTTGCAAACACAGATCCGAAAAGAATAACAAAAAGCAAAACCCAATTTCTTTCAAAATCACAAAAGCAAGTCCAGAATAAAACTTTATCAATTTCAAATCGAGTAGTAAAATAAACATTTTTTAGGATTGGGTTCCAGATCTCTGTTCAATCGCTGCCGAAGGTGTCGCCTGTCGGAGAGATGAAAATTTTTTGTGCGTTGTTGAAGCTTCCGAAGAGAACGAGATTGTTGGCCAAGAAAGGGGAGCTCCCCTTTGTTAGTGTAATAGGAAAAGCCTTTAATTTTCATTAAAGTCCCACGCGCGACCCAAAATTTTCCCTCATTTATTTTTCATTTCGTGCCAGTTTTTTATAGCATTAAAATGTCAAATGCAATAAATTAATGCTAAAAAAAACTAGTATTTGCTGTAGCGGAAAATAGTCGAGAATTGTAATATTAAAAAAAATAAAAATAATAACGCCCATCAATTTATTAAAATATTGGTTTAAAGTTCACTATGCGACTTTTTTCTAAAAATAGTCGGGAGCGGTAATTTTAAAAAAATTAAGAACAAATTTTGTCCGACTATATATTAAAATAGTTGGGAATATAAACTTCCCCCGACTATTTCAAAAATCGTCGAGAGTGGTAATATATAAAATCAAAATTTTACCCGACTATTAGGCAAAAGCGTCGATAAGAGTAACTTCACCCAACGTCTAGAATAAAAGCGTCCACAATTTATTCCTTTCCTGATTATTTTAGTCAATAGTCGAAAATGTCCCGACTATTATTCTTTAGTCGGGAAGAAGATGTTTGCTCAGTGTCGAGAATAAAAGCGTCGGAAAAAACTCATAATTCTTGTAGTGTTGGTGATCAATTATGTGAATTTTCATCATCTAGGTAACGGATCTTGAACTACGGCGCGAGGAAGATGAAGGATGACGGCGAAGGTAAAAGAGCGCGAGGAAGATGATGAACTTTAGGGGTCGTTTGTTTTTGGGAATGTAAATGTCTAAGCATTTATAGATGTCCAAAATTTTAGATTTCTAGCATCTTCAGATAACCATGTTTGTTTCGTAGGTAAATTTATGAAGATATCCGGAAATATTTGGATAGTCATATTTGTTTGCAGGATTTATTATTGAGAATGTGTTAAATTTATAGAATGTTCCAAAACTGCCAAACGGATATTTATATAATTTATAAATTCATTTAATATAATAGATTTATTTGAATTAATTTAATTTATTTTTTTATATGTTATATTGTAGAACAAATTAATTCATATTAACTTAATATATATTTCATTCTCGACTTTAATAGTTTTCTAAAAATACAATCATATAATTTATACTATCTTGGGTGAAATTTATTCATCCTATCATCACATTATATTTTTTTAAAAGGAAAAATATCAAGATATGTTGGTCGTAAAACAAATGTTGTTGTAAAATTATATATTTATACTAAGAAATATTATTAATAATGTAATTCCTTCAAAATATTAAAAATAAATGGAGATATTATATAATTTAATTGCAATTTATTTTACATGTAAATATAATGTACAAATATATTTAATAGCATAAAATTGTTTATTAGATCACGAGTACATTAATTTATTTTAATTAAAATTTAAAATTTTAAAATAAAGAATTTTTTGAGAAAAAAAAAATTGATTAAAGATATGGAGAAAAAAATGAAGGGCAAAAATGTAAAAAATAGATGCCCTAAATACGGAAATCTTGAAAACCTGTGTTTCAAAAGGGCATCCAAAATTTATAAGATGTCTCCCGTATAAGCATCCTAGGATACCCGGACATCTTAAGATTCTCAGGTATCTTACATTCTCGCAAAACAAACGTGAGAATCAAGATATCGATCCAACGAGAATCTCGAATTCCCATAAAACAAAGGGCCCCTTAGTGTTTTTGAAAGAACATTGAAAACAAATAAGGAAGAAAGCAGTTCGCAAAAAAGCGTGGTTTGATTTAATTTATTTTAATTTTATTTACCTAAAATGAAAAATATTATACTTGAATATTTCATAAAACCAGCTTAGTTTGTTAGTGTTAGGTGTGTCTATAAGTCTCACGAATCTTCAGTTCAATTCACACTAGTAACTAAATATGTTATCATTTATATATGTTATTTTTTTTATAAAAAAAATATCTACTAAGTTTTTATTTTTCATTTTATTGAGAAAAATTATGACTTTGTTTCTACTATTTTTAAAAAACTTCCTACTAATATTCTTAAAAATTTGGACAAGAATCTAATGAAAAATCTAATGAAAAAAAAAGGCAAATTTCTAAAACTAAGATTTAATTAAAATATTTCTATCTAAAATTCAAAATTTTATGTTATAAAAGATTTAGAGGTTCATGAACCTAACTAGTTTCAATTTAAATCAAAATTAATTCTTTAGCATTCGATTAAGTTAGACTACCTTTCATTCCAATAAAAAAAAATAAGGTATAATTTAAATATGAATATTTTATTTACGTAAT